TAAATTATTTCCCCACTTTTTCTTTGGTACACCCTCCTAAACACATCAACGACTGAGAGTACCCCACACCCCTTCATAATAAAGAGTAAGATCATTTTTGAAAGTATATCACCCGCGATGAGACTTCGATGCGCAGAGTCACGGCCCACCTTTTCAGGCATACGGTCTCCATGTGTTTCTATGCCAACCCCTGGATCGAATCGCCAGCATATATGGTAACAATGTTGTATCATACACAAATGTGTCCTTTTATTATATCGCATGATCTAGAAAGCAAATAGTCTTACAAACATCAGCCACAGGCTAGTCAAATACATAGTCTTACAATAAGCAAACAGACTTCATAAACAAGCGGAATGAAAGCAAATCTAAGGTAGACGTCTTGATAAGCTCCATCAACACCACAGGGAAGCATGCCGAGTGGAGGCATGAAACCCTACATACGACACTCCTCGTAGTACTCACCTGCAACATGATACGTTGCAACCACTAAGGTCAATACTTGGAATGTATTGGCAAGTCCATAGTTCATTTGGAACCATGTTCACCTACACGCATTTTGGTTTGTGGTGTTCAAGGATCTTTGCAGAAAAGAGTTTTGCATTATTATTTCAGCAGTGGTATATTTATTAGTTGGACATATTGCATCACATAGTAGTCCTGGGCAGATCGTATCACGTGATCACGCATGAATGCAATTTGAGTATGCGGGCTTCCGCATCACACAGTTGCCCCCAAAGCCTTCATCCAGAGACCCTAGGTCCTCCAGTCCTCTGAGATCATCTCTACACTCCCGGTTGGTTCAACCCATTGATTTTAAAAGAAGAGGTGATGAGATCAAGCTGACAATTCTCCGATGAGTTGTTCAATTTGTCCATAACCAGGAACACGGCTAATCATGATCAGTTTTTACACTCCGCAGAGGTTTGTGTACTTTACCCGTGATTCCCGATCACACCCTTATGCTACTAAACTTCACTTGTGAAGTAGTTAGGTGGACCAAGACGAGACTTTTTGGAAGTGCCAGCCCTCTCGGAAATGGCAGACCTAGTCCGACCTATACACCTACATCTGCTGGTCAACCCAGGAGGGTTCCCACAAATTACTCAGTCTAGATAGAGCCATATTGTATCATGGTTACACATGAAAGCTTCAACTTTGAACCCGTACGACCCCTTTGATACCTGGGTGGCATTCCCCACCAAAGACTACACACCGATGACCCAATCGAAGCGAGTCCACCCAGATCTATTCATTAATTAAGTTGCAGTTAAGTAGTCTACCATGAGGTTGTATGGTGGAATAATAATTGATGTTTTCCCAATCCATGTTATAGCAGCTAAGCATCTACTCGATGGTTACAAGGGTCATGGTAAGTTTGGACCTAAGTTGTCAGCTACTGGGTTGTACATAATTTAGCATTCTAAACTCACACACCTAACATGGCAAAACTACAATGCAAATAAAATACTGGGTAACATGGTCAGAGTGGAAATTGCACTGGTTGTTGTTGACACTGGTGCACTCCTCACAGTCACAGGGGTTGCACTCCCCATAATCTAACATTGAAAAAATATAACACAATCAATCATAAGCACACAATTCATGCAAAGGGAAAACTTGCATGAATGCAACGATACAAATTCCACATCACAAACTGTTGGATTGTTTGATTTGATTTCATTTAACTTGGTCTTTCCAAATTGGGTTCAAGGTTTGGTTGGTATTTGACTTCACCACAACATTCATTTTGGGTTAGCTATCTTGGTTAAAAATCCTAATGGGTTCAATTTGACATACTTAGTTTAATAACTGAACTCTAAATAACTAAACCTCACTATTTTATGCAATTGATTTGGATTTGAGTTTTGACTTGCACTATTTGAATTTATTTGACCCAAGTTTGACTTTCAATTTGAAGTTCATTTTTCATAGGTCATAATGATTTAATTATTAAACTTAAGTGACCCATTATTCATTCTACTATTTCCTTTTATAAAATAGCTATGGTTTATCATTACATTTCCATAAATTCAAACTATGATCCAAATTATTTTTTCAAAATATTTTTTTGGTGTCCTATTATGTTTCAAACAAATCTAGGATTTATTCAAATTGAATTTGGTTTATTTACAAATTTTATTTCACTAAATGAATTCAGATAAATGTGAAACTAGGGTTGCTAAATTTCTGTCCAAAAACTATTTTATAAGTTTATATATTTTAAAAATGGTATTCTAAATTAAGCTACTTTTCACCAGCTACAAAATGCAAAAGGAAACACCTAATTTGGATTTGTAGTTTAAAAGTTATGCCCTAATTAGTATTTAAACTATTATATTTGAAATTCAAATTTACCTTTTCCAAAATTATTCTGAAAATTCATCTCCTAAGGTTTCATTTGCAAAAAAGAATCATTCAATTTGTTCCTCGCTTCCTCTCGATAATTAGTTATGATGGTTTGAAGTTCTAGGGGCTTTTCTGCAAAATTGCCTTTTATTTTTAATTAACGACTTTTGTTCTGGATAATGTTTTTGGATAGGCTGGCTACATGGCAGGCTCTAATTGGCTGATACCGTTATTTACTCTATGCGTTGGATCTAGATCGGACGTTCCTGATTAGATCGAGCTCACCGCGGCAGCTAGGTCATCGGAGACTCGTCAGAAATGTCGAGGACGTCGGCGCACGGCTCGGGAGGTTGTCGGGAGAATGCTCCATGTGGGTTCTAGTGTGGCGTGGGGCACGGTTGGACGCAATGTAGCTCGGGGAGATTGCTGGTGGTCCTAGCCGGGGCTAGGGATGACGTAGATGACATCGGGGAGGCTCACCGGAGTTGCGTGCAATAGCTAAGCTCTCGGGTGTCAGCGGTGTGCTCAAACGTGGGCTCTTCTGGATGCGTGAGTTGGTCAGCAAGTGCGCACAGGCACGGGAAAACGAATGGACAGGGTGCGTGACCGAACGGACGAGGAGCTCACCGGAGTTACGACGACGGCGGCACTGAGCTTCGGCCTCCGTCGAGCTCGAGGTTGCAGGGGGCTTTGGGCTCGAAGAAGATGTCTAGGGGGTTCGCCATGGCGTGGTGGTTCTCGTGGTCGGGTTGGGTGGTCGCGAGGTGGTCGGGGTACGCCGGAATATCGCCGATGATCTCTCTGTTGAGGCGGAGAGGACGATGGTGGTGCGGGCAGCCTAACGGTGCTCTGGTGGAATCGAGTTGGGGGTTGGAGAGAGGGGGTCCGGGGCTACTTATAGGGCATGTCAGGTGGCGCTGGCGAGCATGGTGCCCGTGCGGGGTGGAGATCATGGGCGCATGCCCGTGGGGGGTTCTAGTGGCGATGCATGGTTGGCCACTAGCCTCGATCCGATCCATGGCACAGAGCAAAAAGGCACAACATTTGGGAACAACATTCACATTTGGTTCCACGAACACAAGCATTTCGCCCCCTACTCCGACGCGGTCATCCGCAACTGTGAACCAAAGTCCCTCAACCATGGATGGTACACCATCCAAGAGGCTGTGTCGAAGTATTTTGGGCACTTGAAGCATCTCATGGCACGGTGGCCTAGCGATGCACAAATCACCGAGCAAGTAAGTTGATCGCTAGCCGGACATGCTTATTTTTTTGCTCACTAGTCAGATATGCTTAGTTTAGCTGATCACTAGTCGGACATGCTAAGTTTTGTTGGTCACTAGCCGAACATGCTTAGTTTTGTTGCTCACTGGCCGGACATGCTTAGTTTTGTTGCTCACTGGCCGGACATGCTTAGTTTCGTTACTCACTAGCCGGATATGCTTAGTTTAGTTGATCACTAGTCGGACATGCTAAGTTTTGTTGCTACTAGCTGGACATGCTTAATTTTGTTGCTCACTAGCCGGACATGCTTAGTTTTGTTGCTCACTATCCGGATATGCATTGTTGACATTGTTTCACTTTGTAGCCTTCTCGTGCTTGTTTGGTGTACAAGAAGTTGGAGAAGCAAAGCTTCACCGTCATGCATTGTTGGTTGAAATTGAATGGACAACCAAAGTGGAACCTTTTCATAGCCAAGACCGCCGCCCAAGCGAACGAGGAAGAAACCGATGACCCTACCGACCCAACCCAAGAACCGCCGAAGAAGGTTAGAAGATTTTTATGGGGGAAGAAGTGAGAGGAGGAGAGGGCTAAGTGAGAAGGTGCGGCGGCCAAGCTGACGGAGAGGTTTGAGGACATCTTGTCGAAGAAAAAGGAGGCATGTGTGAAGCGCTCGGACCTCACGAGGAGAAAATGGCGGAGAAGTTTAAATTATTGATGGATGAGACGGACAGGAAGCTCATGCTCGAAGAGAGGAGGACCATGATCGAAGAGAGGAAGGCCGCACTCGAGGAAAAGAAGTTGAAGATCGCCGCCAATACGGAGGACACCAAGATGTTAACCTTGAATCTGGACTCTTTGGATGTCGACGCAAGAATGATCGTGCAATCCGTCCGTTACCAGATGTTTGCAGCGGCAAAAAAGATTAGTTGATAGTGGCGGACAATGAGGACGCAGCTGAGGTGGACGTGGAGGTTGTCTAGGCGATGACGACAACACCTTGATCGAGGAGCAGACGCCGGTCGGGTATGGCAGAAAATTGCATGGTTTGCCGGACTGGTGTTCTTTTCGATTTGGACATTTTTAGAAACTAAGTATACTGGTCTCTTTTGGTTGTGATCGGGCATGCAATCAGACATTGGTGTGATCCAGCGCGCCGTGTAGATCAATACTAAATTTGACTTTTGAATTGTCATTTACTGGCGAACATATACAGAAATGGCCGCCTACCGTATTTACGTTTATGGACTCGTCCCTGTCGGGAGGAAATTTGTGGGTAGTTGTTGGGGAGAAAAGTGAAGAAAAATAAGAAAAGAATCGAGGCTCGTTCCGTTTTTCCCTGTGGGGCGGAGGTTCTTTGCCTGGTGACAGCCAAACCTGAAGCGAACCCACGCTGTTCGCCGACCCGTCCACTGCTGCTCCGGCCAGCCATGAGGGTCCTCGCGCTCCTCCTCCTACTATGGATCTCTGCCGCCGCCACTGCATCCCCTCCGCCGCTCGAGACCCTCGGCATCCCTCCGCAAGGTTCCCCCCGGATCTGACCGCGCTTTGCTTTCTTTTGCGCCTTCTCTGCCGACGCCAGGTAGATGCGGTTCTTAATTTAGCGTTGCTGGGCGCAGATGAGGCGTACTACAGGGGCGGCGTGATCAAGTGCAGGGACGGATCGGGCAAGTTCACCAGGGATCAGCTCAACGACGACTTCTGCGACTGTCCCGACGGCACCGACGAGCCAGGTACCGCCTCTTTCTTCCTCTTTGCTTTAAAACATGCTCTTTTTCTTCCGCCTGTGGTGTGATTTCTCCGAGATTGCTGTAGAGCCAGGCTCCCTTAGTTTCATGGCGTGTGCGCGTTAGTTTTAAACTGTGGGAGTCTTGGGGATCCATTCGTGCCGGAGATGTGTGAAAGTTGGGATATTCTCTCTGTTAGATTTGTGCCAATTTTGGAACCAGGAGAGCAGTTCATTGAATCGTGCTTCCTTTTTCCTGCGCAGGGACATCCGCGTGCCCGGAGGCGAAATTCTACTGCAAGAATGCCGGACATTCTCCAATCACCATCTTCTCGTCGCGAGTGAATGATGGTATATGCGGTAAGAGGCTAATAGCAGTTGCCTTTTCTTTGTTCCATTGCTTTACTTGTTTTTGTTAAAACTAAAGATACATGTACAACAAAGACTAGAGACCAAGAAACTGGCTGGAGCTCCTATTCCATTGATCCTTTTATAACTTGCTCTACTTGTTCCTCATTGTTTGCTAGATTGCTGTGACGGGAGTGATGAATATGGTAGCAATAGCACTTGCAAGAATACATGCTGGGAAGCTGGCAAGGCGGCGAGGGAGAAGTTAAAGAAGAAAGTAGCTACATATAAAAGTGGTGTCGTTATTCGGAATCAGGAAGTTGAAAAGGCCAAATTGGCAATTGCTAAAGATGAAGCAGAGTTAACAAAACTAAAGGGTGAAGAGAAGATACTCCAGGGGCTTGTCGACAAGCTCAAAGGTGAGCTCTCATAGCTAACTCGTCGTTTTGCAAAGAGGGGTATATCGAGTAAATGTTGTTGAAGATGTTAATTTTAGATGGATAGTTTTTATGTGTCCAATACTGTTCATGCTGTGCAGAGCAAAAGAGATTAATAGAAAAGGCAGAGGAAGAGGAGCGCCTAATAAAAGAGAAGGAAGAAAAGAGAATTAAAGAAGAAGCTGAAAAACAAGCGGCTGAGGAAAACAAAGCACCTGATGCCTCTCAGGAAGCAGATTCTCAGGACACTAATGAGAAGGCACAAGAAGATGAAAGCAAGGTTGGTGGTTCTTCCTATATATTGTTTGACCCCTCGTCCATCTATTCCATGTTGGTTACTATCACCTCAGTTTGAAGAACTAGAACTCATCATCCCCGTCCATAATATCAGAAGCCGAATTACCTTGATAGGAGACAGTTTTGTACTTAAGCAATTCACAGAAGTAATGAAATAATCATGAAATCAGTCTCTTGTATTTTTTTATACTTTTAAAATCATTTAAGCTGTCCACTTACAAAATAAAGCCTTAAATGGTTGGTTTAGTACTTCAATTTTAGGGTTTCGCGCTATATAAGCTGAATTAATTAACATCTAAAAAATGGATTGTTAACTTCCCTTCTTGTGGTCGCAATTTTCATAAGCATACACACATCTCAAGAAACAGATGCCCATGTACCCTGGAGGCTGTAGGTTCAACTGAAGCTATCAAGAAATATTCTGTGCAATTCCGGCCAAGGTTATCATGCTGATAGGGCGAGGCGAAGTAGCACAACATGACCGCCA